AACAGTTCTTCAGGACAGCTGGGTATGGTCCCAAAGCTGACAAAGAACCTTCAAAGCTGTAGGCGATGCTGAAACTAGAATAATGGTCGGTTTGTTCTACTGCCTACATAGCTTTCTCAGGAATATTGGCCCTATTTTTTTTTTAAGCCAAACACACTACCTACCAATTAAACGGAGGGTCTATTACAAGATTCTAGATAGTCCACATATGAATGTAGAAGACAAAGGTAGGAAAATCTCCCCGGATCATACATTCCTCTTAAGAAATATTAGAGTGCCAGGGTGACTACAGCTTAATCCATTGCTTGTACTGCACTGTAACAGATGTCACCAGGACTTAACAAAGGACAAAGAACTTTATACCAACTTTATTGAGACATAATTCATATACCCTACCATTCACCCAATTAAAGTGCGCAGTGGCTTATAGCATATTCACAGATGAATGGGACTATAACTACGGTCAGTTCTAGAACATTTCTTAATAAAACTGGAATGAGCTGCCAAACTGCTAACTTGCCCAAGTGCCACACTTCAGTTTAGAAGCCCACTGTTAAATGCACTCCCTCTCCTTTAAAATAAAAAAAAAAAATTTTTTTAAAAAGTCATATTATTTCGGGGCTTTGTTGGCGTTCCTTTGTTCTTCTTCACAGTAACACGCAACACATGTCCCAGAGCTTGAATCTGTCTCAACAGTCTCAGAGGAGCCACTGAAAACTCTGAACAGAGAAGAATTTCACTGCTGGACTCTTCCCAACTCGGGGCATGGCCCGAAGGAGTCTCGATTGGACAGGGGAGAAAGCAGGCAAAGCGAAGCTGGACTCAAAGGAGCTATTGTTCTGGCAGGAGGGGACAAGCCCGAGCTCCTGGAGCTCTAGGGCTGAAAATGGGTCGGGAGGGAGGCTGAGAATCTTCCAGAATAGACAGCGCAGGCAGGCAAGTTCTGGCTGGGGGCTGCAGATGGGCCCCGGGGGGTGAGGGGGATGTGGACACGCGGGCAAGAGGAAAGAGGTGCCCAGCCCATGGCCCACATGGGTGGTTGTGGCCCTTCTGGGGAAGGGCGGAGGCTGGAAGCCGGAAGCAGCTACGGAAACCACCCAGCGGGCACAGGGCTGGGGACTGGACTGGAGATGGGAGGGATGCTTTGTGCCCCACACCCACACCCGAGCTCACGCAGGAGAGCAGCTCTGGCAGCAGAACCAGCGGGCCCTGCTGAGCGGTCCCTGCCCCTCACAGGACAGGTCACGCCTCACGCATGCCCACTGTCCCTGCAGCCGAGGAACGGGATGAGGAGGACTCTGAAATGCTGAGACAGTCCTTCAGCAGGAGCTGGGTCTCCCCTGACACTCGGGGCACCTGCTCAAGTGACCCTAGAGGTAGTCCCCGCCACCGGGCAGGGCAATGGCTAGCGTGCAAGGCTCACAGGGTACATGGCAAAGTGCCTAAGTGCCTAGTAATTCTGTCCAGCTAGGATGAGTAAGTCCCTAGGCTCGAACACACACAAAGGCAGAAAGAGAACTATGAAAAAACGGTATTTCAAGCCCTGCCCACAGGCCTCATTAGCATATAAGAACACAAGACCAATAACAGACAAGTCTAATTACTCTTTTTTTAAAAAAAAAGTCAAATCAAACATGTGGTTGTGACTGAATTTCCCAAGTCTCACTGATGTCCTGACACTAATACTTGACCGAACCGTCCCCTAATGGGTAACTTTTAAAGTTGAAAAGAATTTTATTAAAACTATGCTAACACATTATGCATAAACTGTGTTAGCCTCAGGTGAACTGAAAAATGAGTGTCCCAGTAAAACTATAATGAACAGAGAGAGGGGACGAACTAAATCCAGGTCACTTTTTGCATTCGTAACACTTTACAAACTGTCAGGAGATTACAAGCCCTCACAAATTTACCTTGGAGTAAACTCATGCTAACACACTTCTAAAATATGTTTATTATCCCACAATACATTAAAAATTTCAACATATTGGGAGAACATAGTTGTAAGAACTTCAAAGTATCCAAAGTAAAATTCACAAAAAGCACTTGTAAATAGCATTTTACAAAAAGAATAATCTCCCAACAGAGGGAATTCGGGGGGGGGGGGGGGGGAATACAAATTTAAATTGTTTAAGGATATGATACTTTTTCATGGCAGAGCCTGGCAAGCTACCCGTGACGTATTCGATATGCCAAACACAGTAACAACAAAGTCTCCAATGGAGACGTTACTGGGCCCACTCGAGCAAATCGATGAACAACGAGAGGACAGTGACAGTGACAGTGATACTTTTTTAAACTAGCAAACACAGTTTTCAAGTTACTTTATTGAGTCTCAGAAATCTGGAGACAAGTGGCAGTCTATAAACCCAGGCAAACCCAGATATAGCTTTCAGAGAAATGCAGGAAAAAGTTAACATGCCTAACAATATTACATATACACCTTTCCCAGCGATTCTTTTTAGGAACTTTTATCCAAGGAAACAATCATCATTTTTCCAAATGTATATATTGTACCATAAATAAAGAGGCCAGGATATAAGTCAGGAATAGAGCTATATTGCACATATGAGTCTTTGGGTTTGATACCCCTTCCCCCCCCATTCACACACAATTTTAACTTAGTTAATTTCAACAATAGGGATTAGGATTTTTAAGCATGATTAGGATCCAGTTTGAAAAGTGTCATATCCTTATCCCCCCCCCACCCCACCCCGTGGTTAGGCATAATGTATTGGCATAATTTTAATAACATTCTTTTCACTTTAAAATTTACCCATTTGGGGGCTGGAGCAATAGCACAGCAGGTAGAGTGTTGGCCTTGCACGCAGCCAACCCCAGGTTCGATTCCCAGCATTGCATATGGTCCCCAGAGCACCGCCAGGAGTAATTCCTGAGTGCAGAGCCAGGAGTAGCCCCTGTGCATTGTTGGGTGTGACCCAAAAAGCAAAAAAAAATAAAAATAAAATAAATAAAAGTTACCCATATGGGCATGGTTCGGTCAAGTATCAGTGTCAGAACATCAGTGAGACTTGGGATTTAGACATTCAATAAAACACTTTCCATGATAAAAGAAAGTGGGAATGAAACTAGTGGATCATAAATCCATCATTAAACTATATGTCAGCGGGGCTGGAGCAATAGCACAGCGGGTAGGGCGTTTGCCTTGCACGCGGCCGACCCAGGTTCAATTCCCAGCATCCCATATGGTCCCCTGAGCACCGCCAGGGGTGATTCCTGAGCGCAGAGCCAGGAGTAACCCCTGTGCATTGCTAGGTGTGACCCAAAAAGAAAAAAAAAAACTATATGTCAGCTCTTAAAAATCTACATACACGAAAATACAAAGCTATACACAGAGAGAAGTAGAGCAAAAAAATGTACAGTGAGGTAAGAAAGTGACGTGTTCTGATGATGGGACAAATAATTTTTTCTTTCATTCTAGAAGTGTGGACTGGAGCGATAGCACAGCGTTAGGGTGTTGCCTTGTGCGCAGCCAGTCCAGCCGAGCCAGGTTTGATTCTTCCGTCCCTCTCGGAGAGCCCGGCAAGCTACCGAGAGTATCTCGCCCGCACGGCAGAGCCTGGCAAGCTCCCCGTGACGTATTCGATATGCCAAACACAGTAACAACAAGTCTCACGATGGAGACGTTACTGGGCCCGCTCGAGCTAATCGATGAATAACAGGAGGACCGTGACTGTGATTCTAGAAGTGTGCTTCCTCAATTCCCAAACTGAGCAGAAATTTGTAGAAAGATGAAGTTACTAAAAACAGATGGAATCAAGGATCTGACCTTACAGAAGCAATGGAACCCAAACAAAAGTTCCAAAGGCACCGGGAAAGAGTGTTCTCTCTGGATTCTCCCCAAAAGCCAGTCTGGCGAGGACAAAAAGGAGACAAAGGGCGCAAGAGAGTCCTAAACATGGGCGAGAATGCCATAAAAGAAGGATTCTACACAATGATCTGCATCGGGCAGAGCAGCGCTGCCTTAAAAAGCACGCTGCAGCAATCCATTCCTCTGCTTCAGTATCATGATGGTGTGCAAAAGAAATCCTGGGCAGCGTATAGAGAACTAGGAGGCTGGATTAGAACGATGAACCTCACTGCATTAGCCCTTAATCACAGGAAGAAACACGCAAGGGGACATTCTCAATTAGTGCCCTTGGACACGTAACCCAAAAGGGGGGAGGGGTGGTGATAAATTATCACTTCATCTTCACTTAATATGTTACAAAGAGTGCTCGATCTCAAGGCCTGCCACGGTGTAGGTTCAAGAAGCAAAGTTAATCAAGAATTATCTTATACTATCCCCTGATTAAATGCAACAGCTGTGTTTGGGCTGTGAGAATACAGATTATCTTATCTTGGGTTCGTGAGAATACAGATCATGTTATGATTATCATGCTTACACATTTCCAATCAATTTATTTCTTAAACTCGATTGACCCTTTGCAAATTCTAGGACTCTATTGCAGTTGGAACCACTCACTTATTAAGGAACTGGTTAAGTGACAAGAACAAGTGGGTTTGCTATATAAGTTTCAGGTTATTGTGTGGATCAAGAACAGAGGTACAACGCATTTGATCAGACACTGAAAACATCCGGCAGAACAGTAAATGATACTTTGGGGGGGATGCCTTTTTGGTGGTTTTGTTTTGAGGCCACACCAGGCAGTGCTCAGAGCTTACTCCTGGCTCTGTACTCGGGAAACTCCTGGCGGTTGCTCCAGGTGCCAAGACTGAACAAGGGTCTGCCATATGCAAGACAATCACCTTAACCCCTATACTATCTCTCCAGACCAAGTGATGAGTTTAAAATAAAAAAAAGAAACCCAAACAACAAATTGATTTCTATTTTTTGCCACACTCAGCAGTGTTAAGGGCTTACTCCTGGCGTTGCGCTCAAGGATCACTCCTGGCAGTGCTCGGGGAACCATATCGGATGCCGGAAATCAAACCCAGGTAGAATGAGTGCAAGGCAAGTGTCTCTTAGAGCTCTGACCTTCAAGTGATGACTTTAAAAAATAAATGAATTGGAATGATACAGAGAAGATTAGCATGGCAGCAAGGATAACACACAAATTCGTGAAGCGTTCCATATTTTTTCTTAATCATTGTATAATTGAAACCCAAGCACAAAAATTTGTAAGTCTACAACTGTATCTCTTGGTTTGTCACTAATAAAAAATTTTAATAAATAAAAAATAAATGAATAAAACACAATTTATTGTAGTTGTTTAAGGCTAACAACCTCAAAGAGCCAATAGCTCACATTATAGATGCCACTTCTGACCTCAAAAACTCCAGAGCTAGTACACCATTTGATAACTTTTATAGAACCAAAGACAGAGATGACACCTTGGGGGTTGGGCTCATGAGATGCAGTGAGCTGAGCCTTCCTTCAGCTCATTTTAGAGCCAAGCCACAAACCACAAACCACACACACACACACACACACACACACACACACACACACACAGACTCAATAACAACAAAAAGAAGTGGGAGAAGGGCCAGAGAGAGTACATGAAGCAGGTACGGCACTTGCCTTGCATGCAGCTCACCCAGGTTCGATCCCCAGCACCCCACTGGGTCTCCGGAGCCCCTCCAGGAGTGATCCCTGAGCGCAGAGCAAGGAGTCTGCTGCCCAAAACAATAAAATCAAATGAAACCTTCTTCCTAAAATATCAAAACTGAAAAACACCAAATACAGCCTCCATGTGATTTAGCGATTCCACCCATTGCTCAATATCAACCCACCCCCCAGAACACACAACTGAAAAGACATGTGCACATCTGTGTTCAAGGCTGCGCTCAGCATAACAGCCAGAATATGGACACAACTCAACTGTCCACAGCAGATGAGTGGACAGTGAAGCTGTGGTGTATATGGAAAACACAGTGGAAAACCATGCAGCTCTAAGAGAAAATGAAACTGCACAGTTCTCTACAGCATGGATGGAAAAAAAAAAACACCCCAGACGAACAAACCCTGGATGATGTCACTCTTCTGGGGTGTACAGAGAAGCAAGGGAACAGACAGCATAGAAGGATAACAAACCTCAGCATCCTGGAATATAGGATGAGAACACCGAGGGGGTCGAGGGGAAGCAGGGCAGGAGGGGTTCTGGGGGGGCAAGAGAGGAGATTGGAAGAATAAAAGATATTGGTGGCAGGTACTGGACACTTTGGCAATGATGAGGTCAGATAACTGTGTACTGTAGCACTGTCCTCCCATTGTTCATCGATTTGCTCGAGCGGGCACCAGTAACATCTCACAACAAATTGTGAGACTTGTTACTATGTTTGGCATATCGAATACGTCACGGGGAGCTTGCCAGGCTTTGCCGTGCAGGCGAGATACACTCAGTAGCTTGCCGGGCTCTCTGAGACGGGCGGAGGAATCGAACTCGGGTCGGCCACGTTGGCTGCGTGCAAGGCAAACACCCTACCCGCTGTGCTATCACTCCAGCCCCATAACTGTGTACATCCAATCTTCAATGTTACCACTATAAACACGTGACCTAAAATGGAATAAAATATTTAAGAGACCATATCACATGGAAGAGAATGCAGGAAGCACCCTCAGAGGATGCTCATTCAACAGAGTATCTGGCTGGACAGACGAATGATTATGTTCACTCTTATCTGCACTTTCTAAGTTGGGTACTTGAAAATGTGTTACTTTTATAACTAGAAATTACAGTAAGAGCACTATTTTAAACCAGCACTTTAGAATTTTTCTGCTCGTGCTCACAAATCTCCAGTTTCACAATATAATCTGGCTCCGTTTCTCTTCTTTCTGAATTCATTCAGCAGCCAGACCTTGGGCTGCGGGCATCTTAAGGAGCTCCGGGTGACACACAGACTGTTACCACATTCCCCGGCACCCTCACTCTGTCTCACGGCAGCTCCACGCCTGAAATCAGACTGTCCCTCCTCTGGCGACAGGGGGGAAGGGTGTGTGTGTGCGCGTGTGTGTGTGTGTCAGGCCAGTGGAGAAGGGTGTGTGTGTGTGTGTGTGTGTGTGTGTGTGTGGCCAGCAGGGAAGGGTGTTTGTGTGTGTGTATTTGTGTGTGTCAGGCCAGTGGGGAAGGGGGTGTGTGTCTGTGTGCAGACCAGTGGGAAAGGTTGTGTGCGTGTGTGTGTGTGTACTGTGTGCATTGTGTGCCAGACCAGTGGGGAAGGGTGTGTGTGTGTGTGTGTGTGTGTGTGTGTGTATCAGGTCAGTGGAATAGTGTGTGTGTGTGTGTGAGTGAGGTGTGTGTGCGTGTATGTGTGTGAGGCCAGTGGGGAAGGGTGTTTGTGTGTGTGTGTGTTTGTGTGTGTCAGGACAGTGGGGAAGGGGTGTGTGTCTGTGTGTGTCTGTGTGCAGACCAGTGGGGAAGGTTGTGTGCATGTGTGTGTATTGTGTGCATTGTGTGTCAGACCAGTGGGGAAGGGTGTGTGTGTGTGTGTGTGTGTGTGTGTGTGTGTGTAAGGCCACTGGGGAAGAGTGTGTGTGTGTGAGGTGTGTGAGTATGTGTATGTGTGTGTGAGGCCAGTGGGGAAGGGTGTTTGTGTGTGTGTATGTTTGTGTGTGTCAGGCCAGTGGAGAAGGGTATGTGTGTGTGTGTGTGTGTGTGTGTGTGTGTGTGTGTGGAGGGTGGGGGGTTGTATGTGTGTGCTGAGGGGCTGGTTTGAAGCTATCACAGTGGGAAAGGGTGTATGCGGGGAGAGGGTGTATGTGGGGGGGGGTGAGTGTATGTGTGTGCTGGGGGGGGCGGGGGAGAGGGTCGGATTGAAGCTGCCACAAGGTCCCTCACACCAGCTACAGTCAAGGGGCATCCATCCACCTTGTCCTGTGTTGGGGTTCGACTCCCTGCAACGCAAGGTGCAAAGCACCACCGAGCGCGTGCAGAGAAGGCCTGGCTCTGGGTCACACCACAGAAGACACACACTGTCTCTTCAAAAGTCTCCAGGACTCCGGGATCCCAGGTCCTGCGGGGATGACAGGGACACCTGGATACACAAGTATTCAGAGTCTATGCACATCCCTGCGCAACCCACTCCTGGCGTGGGGGGTGGGGGACACAAATCACAGCGGACACAGAAGGTAATTGCCACATCACCACTTAAATGGCTGGGGGGGGGGGGGGGGGGGAGGATCCATCCCCACCACCCACATATGGTCTAGCACTGAGCAGAGTTCGGCAGACAGCTGCAGCGGACAGAGATCTGTTACGTGCCTGTTCGTTCCTGCCCTCGCAGAGAATTGCTCCTCTGCTTCTGAAGACGCTGCCCCCTTTGCCTGCAGCCTGGTGAATCCCCTCACCTCAGGCACACAGAGACTCCCAGGTTACAAAACAGTACGTGGCTGAGTCCACGGGGTTCCTGGGCCCCCGCTGACAGCTGCTTTCCTTTGACAGGAAAGGCACGTGGCACCTTCAGGGTCAAGCTCAGAGCACTTCCATGAGAATCCGGGACCCAGAGTGGACAGGCCAACACCCACGGCTGCGCGGTCACAAAACGGCCACAGGGCTCTCTTCCAGAGGAGAGCGAGGAGATGTGAGAACTGAGTTCTCTGGGACACTCCATCCCCGCCGCCATAGGCCATGTGCATCTGGATCGTTCGTTGTTCTCCATGTTTTGCACGTGTGGCATTTCAAGAAACTGCAAAATGGTTTTTCTGTATTTACTGAGAAGATAGAAAAAGCTCTTCCACTTTGGGGAAAAAAAAAACCTTGAAAAATGTTTCATTACTGAGGTGAGAGGTAAACTACATACTCCAGAAGGAAAAATAGATCTTTAGGAGAGAGAGGGGGAAAAAAAAAAAAAGGCTGCCCTAATTATACACAGATGATCTCATTAACTATCATTCACAATTCATTAAGGCTATTAATACACTATAAACGAGGGGAAAAGGGGATCATGGAGTTAAATGTGTAAGTGCTGAAACCTACCAAGAGACGGGCATGGCCTGAAGATGAAACGCCCCAGGAAGTGCCTACGCTGAGCCTTCCTGTATGGGGTGCTCGGCCTCCTCTGAAAGTCCCGGGCTCATCCCTGAGAAAGGAGGAACCACCCAAGCAAAGAATGACCCCAGCTCGGGTCCTCTCATGAACTCGTCCACCCAGGGCTCTGTCTCCCACCCACCCAGAAAGTGCTCGTGTCTGGGCTGCTGGCCCGTGAGGGCGCAGGATCCCGGAGCAGAGGCCAAACGGAACACAGGACCTAGTGCCACGGGCTTCCAGAGCACCCTAACAGGGCCCTGGGGTGCAGGCCACGTACAGTGCCGGGTGTCCTGGAGCTACCAAGAGTGGTGGGAGGACCAAGTGAGCCAGTTCATGTCATGTCACTGATCATTTTAAATGTCACCACATGGAAAGTCTCCAGGCATGACAGTTAATGGTATGGCGGAGGGGGGGGAGGGGAAGGGGAGTTGGGGAGGCAGCAGGAGAGACAAGGAAGCCTCCAGCCAGGTGATGCTCGTCCCCGCCTGACCTGTGCACAGACAGGTGGCAGGACCGCAGGGATCTCACACACACATATGGGGTACAGTCCTAGAGAGGCCCAGCAACAGGCCACCAAGCAGCGGGAACAACAAGGGACGCAGGTGACGGGGCTTGGGCTGCAGCTACCTGGCCAGGAACACGGGCACTGGACAGAGAAGGCGAAGGTACCAGGCCATTGCACACTGGTGGCGGGTGAGGGACAGGACTCAGGAAACCAGACTCTGGACCAGGCAGCGAGAGACAAGAGTGATGTCTTAGAAAGAGAGAAAGTAGGGCCTTGGCCCTGGGGAGGGGCCCAGACCGTCTGCTTCAACTGGACAAGAAACTCTGACTTCTTTTTTGCAGGGTGGGGGTGGAGGGCTGGACCATACCCAGCGATGCTCAGGGCATACTCCTCACTCTGCACTCAGAAATCACTCCTGGCGGAGCTTGGGGGATCCTATGGGATGCCGAGGATCAAAACCAGGTCTGCCGCATGCACGGGAAGCATCCTACCTGCTGTGCTATTGCTCTGGCCCCTAAACTCTAACTTCTTAAGCTCCTGAAGTTTTGTCTGTAAGTCTTTCATACAACTCTCAAGAACCCAAGAGCTCAAGAATAATCCTCTTCCA